GACAAAGGCCCCTCGTGTCGCCTTTAACAGGCTGTTGAGGCAAGTGCTGTTAACGAGCACCTATGCAGGCTGGCGCAGCACACGAGAGGGTGGGTGGCCAACACCACGCTCGGCCGCCTTTGTCTCCCTACTACCGATGTTTTGCACATAGCACAAGGTACTCGTTCAGGCTTACCGAGAGGGCGATTCGAATATTCGCAAATTGTATTGGTCGTGAGCGGGAATCGAACTCGGGGCGCTAACCGCTACACTACCGCCACACAGACTAACATGCACATCTTAATATATACACAAAGATCCCCCGTGTAGCCTTAACAGACTGTCGGGGCAAGTGCTGTTAGCGAGCACCTATGAAGGCCAGAACGGTACACGAGGGGGTGGGTGGCCAGCACCACGCCTGACCGCCTTCGTCTCCCCAGTGGCGATGTTTACACACCACACTAGGTACTCATTTGAGGCTGAGTCGACCTAGGAGAGGCCCGGGACCGGTTCAGATAATCGTCACTCATGTTGGCCGTGAGCGGGAATCGAACCCGTGTGGCCGGGTTCATAGCGCAGCGCGCGGACCGCTGCACTATCGCTCCCCACACAGAACACATTCCTGCGGAGGGAGCTGGTAGGAACGTTGGGTTGCTCGGTCAATGGCCAGGGTCAACGGCGGCGTGGTGTATTCCGCAAATATGCCCGACTGTGAGGGCGGGCACAAGCCGGCGTGAGTAGGTTAAACGTTGAGTTTTATAAGGGCAACACGGGGTGACCAGCCCCTCCCCACCCAGCCCCACCCCTCCCACCCCCCACCCAGTCCCACTCTCCCTCCCTCCCCACCCAGCCCAGCCCCTCCCCACCCTCCCCACCCAGCCCCTCCCCACCCAGCCCCTCCCTCCACACTCAGGCCCCTCCCCACCCTCCCCTCTCCACCCAGCCCCACCCCTCCCATTTTTGGACGGACGACACAATAATCCCCTGTGGGCTGGTGGAACCAGGTGGTTCCTACCAGTATAAACAAACATACTAATATATAAATATCATTTGCATGCGTAAGCCACATTTCATCCGTATACACACTAACATATACACTTTAAGGCACTAACACAAACTAATACCCTTACCATACGCAAAGCCTCACCAACACACATCAAAGCAACTCGCGCACATACACACACTGACATCTCCAAACATGCATGCGCAAACACACACACTTCTCACACATACTGACGCACGCACGCACACACAAACACACCCAAGACACACACTAATCACACGACTACACACGCTACTACACACACTAGAATATATATTCATCTCCATCAGGCACAGCGCTGCTGGGACCCTGGGGAGGGAGATGCCAGGAGCGGCGTCGGGTAGAGGTGGGGGCCCCGGAAAGGAGTGGGGTGGGGGGACCCCAGGGAGGGAGGGGGACCTCAGGGAGGGAGAGGGGAGGGGGGCAGGGAGGAAGAGGGACCCCAGGAAGGGGGTAGAGGTGGGGGGCTCAGGGAGAGAGAGGGGGGATGAGCCCAGGGAAGAGGATGGGAGACTCTGGGGAGGGAGAGGGGGGAGAGGCACCCCAGAGAGGGAGGGGGGGGGTGGCCCAGTTGAGGATTTTGAGCTGCCAGGAGGAGATCAGCAGCGAGGGGGGGGGGGGCCCTGGGAAAGGATTGAAGGGGGGGATCTCAGGGAGAGAGGGAAGGAGAGGGATGGCAGGAAGGAAGAGGGGGTGTCCCAGGGAGCAAGGTGGGGGAGACGAGGGGAAGCCATCCTCTGGCTCGGCCGGACAGAGCCGGCGACGTATGTTGACCGCCGCCACCAGCAGCATCTCCTGCCGATTCAGCGTCTTTTTTAAAATAAACTCAGCCTTGCGCAGATGCGGGCCTCGGCGCGGGTGCCACTGGCGTCGAATGCACCGGCGGTGAGCGGCGGTGAGCGGCGGTGAGCGGCGTGCCAGGCTGACGACTGCACCTGCTCTGTACTGCTCGCTGGACCAGGGCTCGGCAACCTGCGGCTCCGTAGCCCGCAGGTTGCGGCGGCTCCCCAAGGGCCCCTTCGTGACGTTCTCCACTGAGGACCAAAACCTCCTCGCGGTCATTGGGTTCATCGTGGCTTCTCGAACTACGGAGTTGTGTTTTTTGTTGCTAACGAATTCCTTACTTGGGTTGCTGACCCACTGCACTAAGAAGTCGTGGATTTGCCTCAGAGCACTGGCGAGGATCTTTGGCCTGAAATACGGCGTGTAGTTATTTTTTTATTGTTGTTGTTGCTGCTACTGATGCGCTTATTTACCCAGGAAAGGACTAACGTGAGTCTCAAGACTCCTTTTCAGGAGGGTCCTGCCACACCGGGGATGCTTTGGCCAAATCGATTGACGACACCAAAAAAACCCGGAGAAATCCCTCCGCCCTCCGTACGAGCGGATATCAGTGAAAGCCCCGCAAAGATGGATTCAAGAATACATTGCTGCGTTGCCATCTCCTGGCCCGCCTCGCAGCCCACGCCCGCAGCATGCGCCCCATTCCCAGGGCGTCTCCCATCAAAGAAGGAACCGGGCTCAACGCTGCCGAGCTTGCGAGACGCGACCAGATCGGGCACATTCAAGCAACGCCGATGATGTAATGAATATGATGGTGAGGTGAAGATGATCACGATCATCATGATGATGGCGAGCTGATATCGATGATGCAGATCGTGATGCCGATGGTGAGATCATGACGAAACAGAGGGCGCCTATAACCCTAATCCTCCCCGCACCCCCTCCCCCTGCCCCCCCCCCGCCCTCCCCGCCCTCCCCGCCCCCCTCCAATCACCCCGTAGCGTCAGAGAAAATGTTCTCGTTGTGACCTGGACGTGGGTCATCAGCTGTTCTTTACAAGCCGGGCCGGGGGGGTGGGGTAAATGGGGGGGGTGGGGTAAATGGGGGGATGCGGGGGGGGGGAGTTAGGGTGGGGGCGTGGCGGGGGATGCCCGGGGGCTACACTGGGTTGGTCGCAGCTGGAGATGTCGCCGATACCAGGGCGGGATCTGGAGCCGGGAATTCTGGGCGGTGATGGCGCCACTCTGAGTGTAAAGGTGAAAGGCGAAGGTGCAACCGGTGGTTCACGCCGCTGCTGCACCACCACCACCGCCACCGCCACCGCCACCGCCACCGCCACCGCCACCGCCACCGCCACCGCCACCACCACCACCCCCACCACCACCACCACCCCCACCACCACCACCGCCACCGCCACCGCCACCGCCACCGCCACCGCCACCGCCACCGCCACCGCCACCGCCACCGCCACCGCCACCGCCACCGCCACCGCCACCGCCACCACCACTACGCCCCATCGCGATCGTCTCATCGGGGTGCCGAGACAACGAATTCCATTTCGTCTCTCGCAGAGCAGTGCGACCCTCGGTGGTGAGGAACGGCCCGCGGAAGCGGACATCACAGAGCAACCTCTGTGAGCCCTTCAAGGTGGCCTCTCATCCACACCGCATGTTACAGCCAACCCGCAGTTAATTCTCAAGAGCTGGCATTTAGCCCAACGAAATTGAATGTCACGGGAGGTTTTTTTGTGTGTGTGTGTGCAGCGATGGGTGACCACCCTGAGACCTTCCACTCGCTATGGGAGCCACGGTGGGTAGGAGATATTAACTACCTCGCCTGGTATCCAGGAGGTAGTGGGTTCGATCCCGACCCCGACACCTGCCATGTATTTGGAGTTTGCGTAGCTCTCATCATCACGGTGGGTAGGATATGTTAACTATCTCGCCTGGAATACAGGAGGTCGTCGTGGGTTCGATCCCGACCCCGACACCTGCCGTGTATTTGGAGTTTGCGTATCTCTCATCATCACGATGGATAGGAGATGTTAACTACCTCGCATGGTATACAGGTCGTGGGTTCGATCCCGACCCCGACACCTGCTGTATATTGGGAGTTTGCGTGTTCTCCATGTGGTCGTGTGGATTTTCCTCCGGGTCCTTCGGTTTTCCCCCACCACATTAAGAATCAACGTGCGTTTTGAGATTTTGTCTGCTATAAATTTCCACGTGATAAGCCACTTCATTGAGCTATCATTTGAGGCCAGGTCGCTTCTCAAAAAAGAGCTACATAGCTCAGTAAGCCTTACCTGGTAAAATAAAACAGTTTACAGTTTTACAGTTGAGAACCCAGCGGCGAAGACCTGGATTCGAGCCCAGGCTCTCGGCGGCGCCGGCTCGGTGCTCTGCCTTCCGAGCCGCCGGTCGGTCGCCTCAATGCTCCGTCGCCAACTCGAGCGTGGGCGACGGTGGCCAGAGATCGACCTCGGTTCCGCGAGCGCTCCAAAGGCCAGCCGTGACCGACCGCGTAGTCAGCGAAGGACCGGCTCGCCAAACGTGTGACCTCTTGCGACAGCATTCGCACAAACTTGCTGCCACACACCGGCGTGTCGAGCGATTTGTTTGATCTATGAGTCATGGGGAAGGGAGGGGGGTGGTGAGGGATCACGGGAGCGGCGCCGTTCCTTTGAGGGTCGCAGTCCACTCCGAACGTTGACCGTCAACTGAAGTGTGCAATCTTCTGCTGGAGTTTCCGCGTCACCGCTGCCGTGAATACGGAACTCCCCTTCCCCCAGCCGTCTGTGCTCTCGACTCCCCGCCGCTGTAAACCACGAGCGCCTGCACTGCGCACCAAGTACGCATGATATCCCACGTGACATCCCACGTGATGCACGTCACACACCGTGGTGCCGCACGGCATCTTGAGACGCGGTGGCCTCCAGATGCTGCGCAAAGGTCGCGCCGCGTCGCACGCGAGGTCAAGGTGGGATCGGATGGGGTCGTGTCGGGTCAACATGGTATGAAGAAAGGGGTCTCCCTACGGCGGTCAGGAAGAGGTCAGGTGGGGGCTGTGTGGGGTCAGGAAGGGCTCGGGTGAGGTTAGGGTGGGGTCAGGATGAGGTCGTGAAGGGGTCGGAAAATAGTCGAGTGCGGTTAGGATGGGGTCAGTGGGGTCAGGTGGTGTCACGGCAGGTCCCTACCGCTGTCGGACCAGGGCAGGTAGGGGGGGCAGCTCACGTTCACGCTCTGCCCCGGGAGACCGTCCGGCCAGCACACGTAGCTGTCAAACGTGCGGTTACAGTAGCGGCCTGCGTGGCGCACACGGGGACATGGGGTGAGACACGGGGTGAGACACGGGGACGCAAGGTGAGACACAGGGTGAGACACAGGGTGAGACACGGGGACACGAGGTGAGACACAAGGTGAGACGCAGGGTGAGACACGGGGACACGAGGTGGGACACGGGGGGAGACACGAGGGGAGACACGGGGACACGGACGTAGATGAGACAAGTGTCAAGGTAAGAGGACAGACCGTAGAGCTGGAGACACGGGGACAGCGGCTGAGACGCAGGGACACACTGGAGCACCCCTACTTCCATCGCCCCCCCCTGCTCCCCCCCACCCCCCTGGACCCGCACGTGTTTTCATTTTAATCTTGCGTAGTGAGCGCTGCTTCGTCACGCACAACGACCCGAAGCGTGGGGCGACCTTTGTGTATGTGCGTGTTCGTGGGCGCATTGTGTACACATCAGCACTGGGGAGACAAAGACGGCCGGGCGTGGTTCTGGCAACACCACTCCCTCGTGCGTCGTTCCGGCCTTCATATGTGCCAATCGCTAACGGCACTTCCTCCAACACCGTGTGTAGACAAGCAGTCACCCCGTGCAGTCTGTGTAGGCTCCACTGCAACTGGTGCTGCTACTACTGCTGCTCGACTAGAAGATAGAGGCAGGAGGCAGAGGAGGAGGGTGAGGAGACAGGTAGAGGTGGAGACAGAGGAGAAGACGGAGGAGGAAGGTAGAGGAGACAGGTGGAGGTGGAGACAGAGGATGACAAGTGATAATGGACACAGAAGAGGAGACAGAGGAGGAGGAAAAGGAGACGGGGAATGAGAGCGATGATTTACAGGCGAACAGAGAGAATGAGGAGGGAGGAAGATGAGGTGGAGGATAAGGTGGAGGATGAGGTGGAGGATGAGGAGGAGGATGAGGAGGAGGTCTGTGAGACTGGGCCGTGTGCCACGCACCGGCTGCGTGTGAGGGGTACGGCGTGGACTCCATCTCGTCGAGGCAGCGAGTGCGGTACTCCTTCCACCGCTCCACCGTGCGCGACAGCATGGAGCGCGGGGACTGCTGGGGGAGACACGCGGACACGCGGCGACTCAAGAGACACGGGGGACACGCAGAGACACGCAGAGACACGGGGGACACCCGGGGGACATTGGGGGGGGGGGGGGGGATACCCGGGGGAGACGCGGAGGACATCCGGAGACACGCAGAGATCCGGGAGACACGCGCAGAGTCACGGGGAAATGGGACATGGGACACCGAGACCCATAGACATGGAGACACGGGGACACGGGACATAGAGATACCAGGACATGGGAACATATTATATAGTGCAACTAATTATAATCACTGTATGAAGACACAGAGACACAGGAATATGGGAACACGGGGACGTGGGGACGCTAGGATACAAGAGACACAGGAAGAGGGGGACATACGAAAACGGGGACGTGAGTATACCAATTATTCTCCACGTATCACAGCAACTCATTACCATTACATGACCTCGCGGGGACTAGCGGACACAAGCAGGTGGGCACTGGGACACGTGAGACAAGACAGACGTTCAACACACAACCAAAGGAGGCGAGACGTGAGAACGCGTGCGTATGGTGTGAGGACGCGGGGACACGGGGACTCGTTCCGAACGAATCCTCGCTCCCTCCACGCGTCATCCCGCGGCAGCTCCAGCGGCACGGGAGGCAGCGGCCGAGCGGGCGAGAGGAAGATCACAAACACGACGCTCACGTGGCCACACGTCCGCTTTCACGACCTCCCTCCCCCCGTCACCCCCTACCAGCTCATCACCCCCCCGCCCACCACCTCCTCCTCGTCACTATCCGAGACACGATGACGCACGCGCTGCACTGGCACAAAGACAAAGATCCCCCCCCCCGTGTAGCCTTAACAGACTGTAGGGGCAAGTGCTGTTAGCGAGCACCTATAAAGGCGGGCACACGAGGGGGTTGGTGTCCAATGCACCACGCCCGGCCGCCTTTGTCTCCCTCGTGACGATGTTGACACGTCGCACCGGGTACTCATTTGAGGCCGAGTAGACCTAGGGGAGGCCCAGGACGGGTTTAGATAATCGTCACCGGGTGTTGGCCGTGAGTGGGAATCGAACCCGTGTGGCCGGCTTCGTAGCGCAGCATAGCGCTAACCGCTGCACCACCGCTCCCCACACGCACGAAGTCACACGCACGAACTAACCAACGCGGCGAACAGATCAAGCCTCGGGCAGACTGTTGGGGCAAGCGCCGCTGGCGAGCACCGATGGAGGGCGGCAAGGCACGCGAGGAAGTGGGTGGCCGGCACCCACGCCCCGGTCGCCGCCTTCGTCTCCGCAGCGATGGGGCTGACGCACCGCAGCGGGGGACGCGTTCAGGTGAGAACCCCGTGAACACGCTTCAGATTTCATAGTCCAGGGAAGGGGGGTTAACCCAAATGCGTAGTTTGCGTATGGGGGGGGGGGGTCTACTGACAATGATCGTAGCAGAGGAAACGGGGTGGGGGGGGGGGTGAAGCCTCGATAATAATGTGTCTACATTGGACTCCAAATGAGTTAGATATACCGACGGTGTGGACTATCTGTTTGCGTAAACACGTGAATATTATTCATCCTTGATCGTTTCTGCGTGGATTAAATATCGGCCGTTCTATAGGATTCTGTGGGGGGGGGGGGGGGGGGGTGCGTCATGCGTTCGTATGCAAGTGGGGGGGGGGGTGTAAAAAGTCCGCGTGCGTACAGGTAGGAGGGGAGGAGGCATCAAGTTTTGACAGATTTAGGCGTATCTACTACATGGATGGCCCCTGATGCAACACACATCGCAAGAAATGTGCATCCGGGCTCTGAAGGCCACAATGATAGCGAAGTAGTGGATACTCTTTGAAGCTATTCACGTACACATTTGTTATCATGTTTACAGTGCAGTATTATCCGTTCTTTCCCCATTAAAAACGACGGTCCCTTATAAGTGTTAACATTTTTGGGTATTTGACCACTGATGTGGACCGCCAGAGCGGGAATCCAACTCGTCCGCTGTCCGGATTCATATCGCAGCGCGCTCACCACGACTCGCTAAACTCACTCCCTTAACAAAGACAAACATCCTCCGTTTCGCCTTTTTTACTTTACCGGACTCTTGGGGCAAGTGCTTTTAGCGAGCACCTCTACATACACACACCGACACACAAGCTAACAAAGACAAGACAAAGATCCCCCGTATAGCCTCAACAGACTGTTGGGACGAGTGCTGTTAGCGAGCACCTATGAAGGCCGGCACGGCACACGAGAGGGTGGGTGACCAACATCACGCCCGACCGCCTTTGTCTCCCCAGTGGCGATGTTTACAGACCGCACCAAGAACTGATTTGAGGCTGAGTCGGCCTTGGGGAAGCTACCTGTTTCGTAGTGCAGCGGTTGCACCACCGCTCCCCACACACGAACATGCCCACACAAAGACAAAGACGCACATTCTATGTCTGTCTCTTCGTGTGTTTGTATGTATGTCCAAGTGTCTATCTGTGTGTGTGCGAGTTGTGTGTTGTATCTCTCTCTTTGTCCCGTGTTCGCTGGACACGAGACACAGGGCAAAGCAAGACGGGACACGGAGACAAGGAGTAGAGAGACACGGGGACTCAGGGCACAGAGACACGGGGACACCGATAGACAGAGCATACAAGACGCGCAGACACGAGCCGTTGATACACGGGGACACAGCGACACGGGGGCAGAACGACCCTTGACATGGGACAGTGAAGCATAGAAAACGGGGACACGGACACGCGGAGAGAAACGGGGGACACAGAGACACCAGAATACAGAGACACGGGAAAATACGATTGACAGAGAGACGGGGTAACAATGACATGGGGACACAGAGACGCGGGGTCATAGAGACACAGAGACACCGGGACACAGAGACGGAGACACACTGCGAAATAGACAAGGGACGGACAGACGAAGAAACACTGGGAAAGAGACACCGGACGTACAGACGAAGACACACTGGGACACAGAGACACAGGACACAGAGAGACGGGACATAGAGACGGAGACACACTGGGACACAGAGACACGGGACATACAGACGAAGAACACTGGGACACAGAGACACGGGGACGCAGCACAGAGACACGGGACATAGAGATTAAGACACGCTGGGACACAGAGACACACAGACGAAGACACACTGGGACACAGAGACACACAGGGCACAGAGACACGGGACATAGAGACGAATATACACTGGGACACAGAGACACACAGATGAAGACACACTGGGGCACAGAGACGCACAGACGAAGACACACTGGGGCACAGAGACACACAGGGCACAGAGACACGAGCCACTCACTGGACGTGGGAGCGGTGATGAGCGCCGGTTCTGCGGGATCGGAGTGAGTCTGTCTCCCCGCGTGTCTCCGTGTCTCTGTGCGCGTGCCGCGCATCAGCCGCCAGCGCGCGCGCGCCCCCCCCCCCCCACCGCGAGGGGCGGGGCGAATCCCGCAGCCCCGCCCCCCTCCCCGGCAGTTGGGAGAGGTGGAGGGGTCGAGGTCGGGGGGCCGAGGTGGGGGGGTGGAGGTAGGGGGTGGGGGTGGGGGGGTGGGGGTTGGGGGTGGGGGGGTAGAGGTGGGGGGGTGGAGGTGGGGGGGTCGAGGTGGAGGTAGGGGGTGGAGGTGGGGGGTGGGGGTTGGGGGGTGGAGGTGGGGGGGTGGGGTTGGGGGGTGGAGGTGGGGGGGTGGGGTTGGGGGGTGGAGGTAGGGGGTGGGGATGTCGAGGTGGGGGTAGAGGTGGAGGGGGGCTGCCGGAGGTGAAGACAATGGCGCCTGTGATGTGTCGATTTCCCCGGCGCGGCATTTGAAACAACGGTGCAAAAGTTTCTTAAACTCACCCCACCCGCCACCAGCAGAAGCCCAGCCTCGCCTCTGTCCACCAGTAACTCCGTAGTTAAGTCTATTGGCAGGTCGTCGTGTGGTGAGGTGGGGTAGAGTGTGGGTATCCCCCACCTCTTGCAACGCGTTTAGCTAGTGTGTGGAAGAGTAGGCCAAATATCCTATTAAGGGGGCTCCTTAGAGCGCCCTCCAGCGGAGGCTCTTCCGCCAGCAGTGGGGTGAGCGAGCAGTTTGCAGGGCTGCGCCTTTAACTTCTCAGCACACGTGGGGGGAAGGGGGCTATGGGGGGCTTACGCTGGAGGGGGTAGACACTTTTACTTTGCATCTATCCAGGAGAGAGCTACACTGGGGTCTTTTTTCAGGAGGGGCCGTGCTGCTGCTGCTAATCAATGACGAGTCGTGTTTATTATTATTATCCACGTGGGAAGAAAACCGGAGCTCAACGCGAGCGAGCGAGGGGACAACGCTCTATCCCCGTACATATTGAGACAGATGGCGATCAGTCCACACTTCGCTCTGCTGCCATCTCCTGGCGAGCCAGAGGTTATGGTGCCACTCAACGCCCACCCACCCACGCTGCTGTCTCCACAGTCGTCTATCGCCTGCCACGTGTAGCCCCCCCACTCCTCTAACCTCGTCTCACCTTCACGGGTTTCACTGGTGGTGGTGGTGGGGGGGGGGGCGATGGGAGGGGAAAGATGTCATCGCCCGATCACCCCTACAGCCGCAAACACGGCTACCTTGCATCTCCTCTGGCGCCGCCCTTGGCGGCCGCGTGTGCGGTGTTGTGTGACATCAGTGGAGAGTGGGGGAGCGGTGGTGCAGCGGTTAGCGCTACGCTGCGCTACGAACCCGGCGACCCGAGTTCGATTCCCGCTCACGGCCAGCACCAGCGACGATTATTCGAATCGGTTCTGTACCTCCCCTAGGTCGACTCAGCCTCGTGCGGTGTGGGGAGACAAAGGCGGTCGGGCGTGGTGCTGGTCACCCACCCCCTCGTGTGCCGTGCCGGCCTTCATAGGTGCTCGCTAACAGCACTTGCCCCTACAATCTGATTTTATGAAGCAGTCCTGGTCCTCCCCCTAAGTTGACTCAGCCTCAAAAGAGTACTGTACCTGGGCGTGGTGCTGGCCACCCACACCCGGCCTGTGCCTTCATAGGTGCTCGCT